GTGAAGAATCCTGCACTGACACCTGTCGGATATAATCCAACGCCCTTCGTGGTATTAGCCAGGGGAGTAGTTGTTTTCTGATAGGTGTCAGTCCATTAACCTACTGTGTAGGGTGTTGAGACTGGCCTGAACGAATTGTTCTTTTAGATGATTTGAATCAATTAGAATTTTGAAATCAAAAATTGAGCGCTGTGAGACCAATATGAGAAAAAGTACAGGACGGTGTACGCGGTTGGGAACGACTGCAAGTTTATGGTTAGTGTACGGCGGATGCCGTGATGACATCTCGACGGAAATCAGCAGCAGACTGCAGACGCCCGTCTTGACTTTTGTGAACGCCCGTGTACGTGTAGTACAAGACGGCTTGAATTCACTGGGACGCGACTGCAGGTGTGTGGTCGCTCCTACCGCAAAATGTGGCTCGTGTGTGGGCTCTCTAAGGGGAAGCTATATACTGAATTGAAGAAGATCTGTCAGGTTTTGTTACACAGCCTATAAAATTCTAGGCTCATGGCAAAAGACTTATTCAGTGATTAAGCATATTCATCTACCGAATATTCGAATTCGTTCAATTTTCATTACATCGGTGTATTCCTTTCTCCTATTTCCAAGCAAACTATATTAGTAAACTAAACTATATTTCATTCGAATGAAATGGCGCAATAGTTATACAACTGAACTTTTCCAGGTAAAAAAGTAACTTTCGTTCATACAAACATTGTGTTATTACCTATGTGGAGTAAATATGAACATTTCCTCACACACCTGAAACAGATATTACTCCCAAATCAGGTCACAATTGATGTATTATGGTAATATTGCATTACGTGGCTGTTTACCGTGAAACCAAGTAATGAAAATATTTTATTAGCAGTTGATTGATGATGGGAGCGCACGAATTGCATCAATTAAAGCGGTGAATCGGGGTGCAAACCTACAAATCACGCTTATCTGCAGACCAATAATATAAACATGTCGCTTGACAGAATGAATATGTAAACAAGTTGCGACAATGTGCTAGGCAAGAAAACTCTGAGGAATAATAGTTTTTTATTATACATGCCCGTCACATATGATTAAATCTCAGGTTTTCTCAAGAGCTATTCAATCTCAAATCATCATGTGTTACGTGAAGAACTGAAATGAATGATAACTTTTTATTCGGAAATACTCACCGAATTATCGAGAATTCGAAAAAGTCTAGAGTTAACGAAATTGAATGTAAGGACTGCGATGCAAAATATCATGGACAAACGAAAAGATCTATTGAAATTAGCTAAAAGGAACACTTTGAACACCTAACATATGACATATGGAAGACCAGAAAAATCAGCAGTCGCCCATCATATTTTGCAACAAAACCATTCCACCACTTTGGTTGATAAGGATTAGTTAGACAACTTACCAACAACAGGCATTTAGATGGTGGTTACATGGAAATGCAGAACTAGACACTTTCCTGAAGCTCATCAATAACGTAAATTTTTTCATCACTTACACAATGGAGAAGGAAGTCCACAACGAATTGCCTTCCTTAGACGTTTTGGTGGAGAGGACCGACACTAAATGGGAAAAATCTGTATATCGAAAACCCACTCACACAGGATAGTATCTGAACCAGAAATCCAACCACCATCAATTGACTAAGAGAGAAATCATCAAGACTCTACTAGGCCGTGCTTTCGGGCTCTGCAATACAAAGGAAGGTCTCGAAAAAAAAACTAGGCATCATCAAAAACCTTCAATGGAATGTTTACTCCAGAGTGATGGTAGAACAGGCTTCAGTTAGAAGACAGCAAGAGCTCTACAAGGAAGAGAAGCAGTCACAACCAGTACTTGTACTTCCCTATATCAGAGGATTATAGGAGAGGATAAGAAGGATTGGGTCCAAGTATAACATCAGGAA